TCCTCTATGTTGCTAAGTGTTAGTCCAGGCAGACATTGACCCTTCAGTTAGTTAACTTTTTTGCCTTCCAAAAATCTGCATTTTTGTATCAGTGATTTATTTGGTCTCTCCCTTGCTGTTATAAGATGGTTTCACAACAAAAATATTGAAAAAAGGGAGGCCATGTTTCACAGATAAGATGAGGAAAAGAGACTTCTGTAGGGATTTCATGACTGAGAGGGAATAAGTCCATCAGGTCAGAGAGTGATAGTGTGAGTTAGTGTCAATGGCAAGACCATGAGTGTTGAACATGCCTTTGAATATAAAGATGGTCTTGTGATTTTGGCACCCATGGCTCTGATGGCTTACTCACCCTGCTTAGGTAGTAGCCCCAGACACAGTTCCGTAGACATTCTTGCTGTATAATCATTATATACCTCACCTGAGGTGATCAAGAGTTACCTGCAGGACATGATAACCATTGAGCCAGCAAATACTAGAAGATTTTTTTTTTTGAGTGCCCCTGGTGGTGCAGTGGCTAAACCGCAGCGCTGTCAACGCTGAGATCCGGGTTCGATTCCCGGTTAGGACACTCCCTGGGCAGATGGAGCTCGTTAGCCCTGTAAGGCAATCCATCTATGTCCTGAGGACCTCGCTGCCACCGTCCAAGCTCGCTTGGCCCCGGCAGATGAACCTCAGGATTAAAGGGTGGGCTCAGTTCCGCGCACACTGTGTCTCACCTAAAAAATCCAATGCGTAGGCTGGAAGGTGTAAAGACCTTCTCCGGTTCTTCATTCGCGAAGACTGGCCATTACATTACTAGAAGATTACGTTGGTACTGTAAGAACTGATTGTGTATCCTGGTTTCCATTTGACCTTCATATTGTCCTAAAGGCAAAGTGTGAAAGTGCCATTGCTTGCTTACAAAGATGGGTTCTGCCTGTAACATATTGCCAATATGTACCATATTGCCAAAACCATGTTTTATGGCTTGCTGCATTTTGATGGAATTGTCAAAACACACCTTCAGAGTCCCAAGAACTATTTCAATGGAAATAGTTACATGATCTCCCCCATTCACCCCTTTTCCTGAAACCTG